GGGGGTCTGTGACATCTGGGGTTAGCCACGTTTCAGTTAATGCAATAACATCAGGACATAGTTCGGCCACAATTATTCTAAGTTCGTCGAGTTTGTTCAAGAGGCTTTGTACATTTCCGTAGAAGAACTTAATGTTATGTAGGTTGTTGCGTCGAATTAGTTGCCCGGCCGTGTGGCCTTCGTTAGTATGACAGGCGTCCTCCACAGGAGGGGTCTTTGTAGTCGAACAATCATTCCGTTCATTATTACAAGTCCTCTCTCTCTCCTTGTGCTTTCAAGGTCGCCAGGTCCGCCTTCAGCGCCCTCAATTTCATTTCTCGCGTTTAGACAAGAGGTGGATGTATATTTAGTAGACGTCACAAGTGTGACAAAAAGTGCAGAAAAATAGATGGGGGCTCCCCATCTGGACGTCCGGCGGCTTCCTACACCGGAATATATTCCTACAACACATACTGTGCTGAATATAGTCTCCATCATTTTACCTAAAATGGACCCAAACTCTAACTTTGTCTTCCCGTGAGTAGGACGCCCATCAGTAGCTAGACCCCGGATAGCATTTTAGTCGCCCAGGGCTAGCCCGGTCGCCCGGCCGTTGACTCTTCGAAAGTCACTCCGCGCCGGAATGTTTTCCTGCTTCTGGCATCACCAACGCAGCGTTCACGCACGCATGTCGCACGCCTGCAAGACTTCTAGGCGCCTTCTCAGGCGAGTTTGGGGCGCTGACACCTTCATGCAGGGCCCAGCGTCTTAGCCTCGAGGCCATTCCACACACATAGGTATCGATTGCTCGCTCGCTCGCTCAGCGTCAGATGGACGGCAAGCCAGTTTTGTCCCCCATCCCCGCCGCATGAAGTTTGCGGTCATGCTCGCATGCCGGCGCGAGTGCATACGCCTGCATTGGGCGGAAGGGATGCGGTGGAGAACAGGCGGACCTCGTACGCCTACGTGCGCGTAGGCCGACAGCCCCTTTTCTGACGCTACGTCAATCACATCGACCGCGCCGGCTGGAGCGGCGGGGCCGACCGCGGACGCAAACCCACCCCCCACCCTCGGACCTGTGCTGGGACGCCCCTTGTTCGGTCGCAATGAGTCTCGGCTGCATGCCAACTTTTGTCGCTTCAGGCGCTTTGGGCGACACCTGGCCTGTTACTGTCTGGCCTGTGAACATGCACCGCATAGTTGGCTCAAAAGGCGTAGGTGTACTTGAAGGACAGACTAACTCACCGGAGTTCTAAAGAATTTCCGTAGATTAGATCAGCTGCTGCAGGTTGAACGGTGTCGTTTTGCGAACAAAAACACACCGTCCGAACGTCGCGCGAGAGTCTCTGTAGGCTAGCCCTATGCAATTTCCCCCCTGCACTTACTTCTGTGCGGAATCCAGAGTTAGAACGGGGCAAAGATAAGGACATAGGCAGAAGTAAGTGGCGTCTCAAAAAATTGGGAGTGGTTATTCAGCTGCTTGCGGGCAACAGGTTTTTATAATGTGACTAGCTGGACCCAGCCACGCGTTGATGTGTGGCTCAATGCGATGAAATGGAAAAGAAAGAAAAGGGCAAGGGGCGCGTTTCCAATAATTTCACAATGTTTGTGGGTATACCATATTTCTTGTCGTTGCGTCCTCTGTGCAGATATAGAGATTGTCTGGTTTGCCGAATCTGGAGCACGCAACGTGTGAGAGACAATCCGTTTGCAGATCCGAACCGCACATTTCTAAAGAACGGCCCTGAGCATTTTTCGATGGTGATTGCAAACGCCAATCGAATCGGGAATTGCAGTCGCCTAAATTGAAATACCATGTGAGTTGAAATCAATGGAAGGACAGCAATAAGGACATGTCCACCTCTGAAAGGTCTGCTCAAGGTAGTTGCTTCCACGACTTTACTCATTAATGTTTTTACTGCAAGCCGCGTGCAGTTGCAAAGCTTCGGCTGGTTGATGATACGAAACATGATCACAGGCACACCGATTTTCAATTGCAGTACGTGCGACGGCGGCGGTATCCCTGGCAGATCAAGTGAATTCAAAAATTATGTGGGATAATTAACTACCTCGTCTGCTTCCACGGCAGTGTCAACGGATGTGTATGTGAGTGCCTCGCTTTGAATCCTAGACTGAATTATATGGTTAAGATGGTACATATATCTGTCCTTGGCCGCAAAAAATAGCTCGTTTATCCAGATAATCGTTGCTAGAATAAGTGGTCTGAATGTTGAGAAATACCTTTTCAACCATGTCTTCTTTCGACAACACTAAATTACCGAAGGTAAGTGGCAGCAAAATGCGTCCTGAATGCGGATCACCCGACACCGTTCCGTTACCAGTTAGCAGTAATTGGTGTGGGAATGGCTCGGCTGATCGGTCATTTTGAAGCTGAACACGCATATCTGCAGTTAATTCCACCGTCTAGACATGGCGCCACAAAGTAGAGTATTTCAAGCGGGCATTTATTTCGTACGCTGGTGTCGATCGAGGAATTACAGTCAGTGTATGCCTGAAGTCTCCTGCAAGCAGTAGCAGTGCATCTCCAAGTAGTCTCGTGTTTCCGCACAAACCTTGCAGTGTTAGATCAAGGAATCCGTGCGATTTGTTGAGCGCCCTTGTGCATTCATCACAAACAATAAGATTCCATTTCCGCCGGGCTTTTCCCAAGTAGAATGCTTTGGAAACGTTGCATGTAGGCGTCTCAATGACTGTTAATTTCAAAGCCGAATGAGCAGTCTTTCTGTCGGGTAGCAAGGTCGAAGCTATTCCGGAGGATGCAAGTGCTAAGCCTATTTAATTAGCTGAATCTAATTGCTACCAGAATAAGTCTTATCACGAAAGCTTTGCCAGTCCCTCCTGGCCCATCGAAGAAGAAGATTTCTCCAACCCTGTCATTGACAACCCGCATTATTTGATCGTAAATGCCATTCTGCTCCACTGTTCGCTTGAGGCTGTTTGATTGCAGGTATGATCGAAGTTCAACCATGCTGTAGTTTTGCTCACAACCCACATCTAACGAAACAGCAACAGAACGGTTTGATGATGACATTTTCAGTTGATTGAGAACTTTGTTCGCGATTTCTACGCACATAACATCAATCACTACTCACGTCCCGTCGTAGATTTCTGCCATGAAATTCACATTTGAGTTTTCCTTGCGTAGTCGACGGCAGATGTCCTCAGCCATATGCGATTAATATTTCTCCCATAAACCGGATGGAGATGAATGGAAACAGGCGGTCAATATGACTGGAAACAGCGTACGTATTTGATGTGGATGGGACTTGTTGCAGGCCTTATCAATACGCACATCTCAGTGTTGATCGTTATTCAACAAATTAGGAGCCTGGCATGCACTGCGGAAACTGGCATGCGTAACGCCTTTGCCACATTTCAACTGCTGGAAAGACGTTTGACTGGGCACATTCACCAACAGCAGGCGAAGGAGGAAGCATTCGTCGTGACTGGGATCCACTGTGTATAGTCTGCCTATCGCAGTTCCTTTGAGTATACCGGGGTGTCCGTCCACTCTGTTTCCTCGTTTGCGTCTTTCGAAAGATCTTCTACATGCATGCCATGTATAGTAAGTAGGCACTTCCGAATACAGCATTGTTTTCTCAAACACGGGGTGGGGGTGGTGTTAACTTGATCTATTCATCACGTGCGAGTATCCCAGAGGAAGCGGTAATAGCCCCATTATGTGGGTAGTAAAAGGCAAGTTCAAGTGGCCTCCAAGTTTTGCGGGTTTTTTTGCCCCAGGGGTGGTAGTCCTTGCGCTCACTAGTTTACGGCCTTACGAACATTCACAAATAGGTGCTTCCCCTCAGTCAAATTCCCAAAAATGATAATCCCACCTTACCACACCATTGCAAAATGATGATAGAATATCCGAAGTCGCTCTCGAAAGTTACATATACCCCAAAAGGTTAACAGACTTCTAGGAGTTTGTCAATGCCACCTTGCCGGACGAGCGATGCCCTGGCTAGATTAATCACCACTGTTTCCCGATCTATCCGCGGTGGAAACGATAAACTACCTCTCTCTAAAGTCATTCTGCCTATGAAGTATCAGTTAAGCCACGTCAGTAAAAACCCGCACTCCGCCTTGTACACAAAACGCTTAGTTTCACCGCCATGGCCAGTCATGAAGACCAACAGATGGCCTGGCGATAGATTCATAGCATGGGAATTTTCTCTTTCTGGTAGAGGGGGCGCTCATCTATCGTTCTTCCGGAACTCACTCACAAATCCTTACATAGGCAAAGTGGAGAGAGCGACTTCACTGGATATCATAGATGAATGATGATACGACCGACATGGGCACACGGATCCAAAGGTTTAATACTGCGCACCCATCGCTGAATGTTTCTGCAGAGTCTGGGGCAGATAACGAAATCACGTTCTTTGCTGGCCTTCTTCCTGCGCAAATCTGTTTATTTGCCTTACAGCAGTACGTCTTAGGAAATAGTAAACACGAAACGCCAGGAATTAGATCCGCCACTACAGCGGTCGCTTCTTGACTATCCGACGTTCTCTCTGAGGTCAGATGAAACAACAATTATGTCGGGCGAATACCTACTCAAATATATATATATATATAGTAGGCATTCCTTCTGGGCAACAGATGTTTGGGGACTTCTCCCGATTGTTATCCCCCCCCCCACCCACCTACTAGTAGTGTACACTGGAACATCAATGTTGATCCCTCGTAGCCGCATCAACCGCGCACATTGCGGATCCCAACATCAGGGGCCTAACCGACTAACTGGGATGGCTATGGAAATAAACTTGGGAATGCCATATTTCCAACCGTAATCCTCGCGCCCGTCTATGCCCAACCATATTGACGTCTCGCCTTCCCTTACTCTAACGGCCGCAGTCTCGTCATGTGGACATGTGTCCCATTATTTGGATCAAAGCAACACGTGGCTGTATTGTACACTTTATTTACATTACTAGCAATGAAAATAATAAGTATATGCAGGGGGGATGCGTAAAGGGTGGGGTCCGTGCTGTGGGTTATTCTGGATAATTCTGACGTAGGCGGCGCACAGAGGCGGCGGTCACTGCCGATTTCAGAACGCTTCGTACCGCCTTCTCAAAATCGAGAAGGCCGTGGGGACGGCCGGCGCTCCACATACGGTATACATCTGAATAGAAGTGAAGTGGGTAAGCGTTAACTTGTGCCCACCTTGGATCATCTTGAACGTATTCGTATGGCGGAAATTCCGTTTCGAATATCGCCCGTTCAAGTTGAACCCCGGTAGGAGGGTACTGGCAAATAAGGACTTCATCTGTCGTTTGACAAAATCGCGGGCCGTTTCGCCGCCCAGCGTTTGTAGGAAGGCCATCTGAAGGTGAAAGTAAAGAAAATCCGAAGTACTACCGTTGCCCGCCGAAAGTCGCCTATCAGAAGGTGTTCTTCGAATGCATCAAAGTCGGACATGAGTTCCAAGGGTGACGGGAGGGGGCATGTTGGTACCGCTAACGCGGGCGGCCCTCTGCGCATCAGACGCAACTGCTGGATGTCTGCTTCAATGGCCCGGAGGCGATTGCATATGTCAGCAATAGCGGCTTGAGATAGGGTTAAATAATTGTCTGCACCTACCAGCGACGAGAGCATTTTGGCCGAGCGTGTGCGAACAGCAGCCGGTGCAGGCCTCATAATGGCTGACGTCCGCGGACACATTGAGTAAGGCTGAAATAGGCAAATTATACGAATTATACCAGTAGACCGTCGTTCAGTCGCATTTACAGTGAGTGACCGATCTCATGAAATGTTGGCTGAAATTCGTTTTCGATTAGAAAGGATTAATTGGTCGCGGTTGTAATACTGATTATCTTGCGGCACGCTCCTATAACATTTCGGATCGGCAGGATGTCGGCTTTTAAATGTACTTCTTTTCAATCTCCTGTAGAAAGCGTACTCGGTAAAAAAATGACTACTTATTCAGCATGCATTTTTCCCATTGACTTTTGATGGTCTTTCAAATTCAAATATATTTTATAGAAACCACAAACAAAAATATGCTTCCTTTTAGTCAATCAATAGAGAATCACGTCTTCTTAATATTTTATACTTAAGGAAGGAGTATAATTAGGTTTTAAAAAAGTTGCTTATTATGAGACTTTTTAAGACCGCGATATGTCCATTCGCATAGCGTCGTACCTGGCCGTTTACCACTGCTCCTCATGAAATGTCCAACATGGTCCGCTTCCAATGCGAAATTTTATGGACCCTGTATGATATCTCTTGAACGGCATAGAAAAATGTGTGATTTTCTTTACGCGGAACGCATGCACCTTGTCGAGTGAAATCACTAAGCGTTAATGCAACGAATGATTAGGCTCCAAATTAGTCGGCAATCAGAAAACTTTTTTAAAACCTAATTATACTCCTTCCTTAAGTATAAAATATGAAGAAGACATGATTCTCTATTGATTGACTCAAAGAAAGCATATTTAGTTTATGCTTTCTATAAGATATATTTGAACTTGCAAGACCATCGAAAATCAATGGGAAAAATGCATGCTGAATAAGTAGTCATTTTTTTACCGAGTACGCTTTCTACAGGAGATTTAAAAGAAGTGCATTTAAAAGCCGACATCCTGCCGAGTCCGAAATGTTATAAGAGTATGCCGCAAGATAATCAGTATTACAACCGCGACCAAGTAATCCTTCCTAATCGAAAACGAATTTCAGAATTTCAGCCAACACTTCATGAGATCGGTCACTTACTGTAAACTGCGCAAGAGTCCAAAAGTCTTCCAAAAGGGAACATCTATTGCGGTAAATTATGCGAATTATACCAGTAGACTGTCGCTCAGTCGCATGTACATAAACATAAACTATCACTGCGTAAATGGGTAACGTAACCGGTCAGTCAGCTGTCTTATCAGGCCCAAATGAACACCACTCACCACTGCCCATGGCCGTAAACGGTGCAGAGTTGCTTGCGCTAGCAAGCAGCGTGCGTGCGTCCGACGGGAGCTCGGGGTGGAGGGGCTTCAGAATCTCCAGCAGGCTATTCACATGAGTGAGAGCCGTTTGTGTGCGTGCAGCCCAGTGGCCCAAGAACTCAAGCAGCGTTGACATTCCTTCCGCTACCTGCTGCGTCAACAGACTCGAAGAGATCATTTCGTTCGTGGAGGCGTTGTCTATTTCAAACTCCGAGTCAGCGGAGGAGGAAGACGACTCCATAGACGTTGTCGATGATGTGTCCGACGGTACTCTTCTCCCCACCTCTTCGCTAATATTTATTAAGAGTTCAGTTGCGTTTCGTCCTACGTGATGTCCACGGGTGCGGCTGCTTACACCTTTAAACATAATAGGTAGAAAAAAAAAAGAAATAGTTAGAGAGCGGGGCGAGAAAAGGATGTCGGCCAAACTGAGCGGGCGCACGGCTACGTGGGAGGGCAGAAAGTGACGCCTGAGACCGCTCGAGCACCAGATGCTATCGATTGGCATGTGTGAGCGCACGTAGTCGATTGCGTCCCCCGAGACAACGTTATCACAACGCACATATCAGACAATAAAATCACAGATACGTTCGGGGTGGCGCGAACTCGGACATTTGCGAGCTCAATACGCCAATTTTTGCTGCTAGGGGAGGTTAGCCTCTGATTTTTGGGAGATCCGCAAACGATAGTGCATATTTTGCCTAAAATATCGTGACGTACCAGGGATACGGTTGACTACCTTGGACAGGTGACTTTGCCACCGGTCAATGATTTATAAGAAAACCTACGAACCGTCCAATTGGACGGCATACCCTAATAGCATTGCTGCAATTTGATTGGTTCCCGGGGGCATAGGGCCTCGCGTCGCTAACGCCGCCGATGACTGAGCGCACGACTATTGGCAAATCGATTGGGCAACGCGCTTGCTTTCGCGCGAGCAGTCTGTCACACTCGCCCACTGACGCTGCACTGATTGCCTTTCCCATAACCACCTTTTCTTATTTGTTTTAGTAGAATGTTTAAGAAAATATCGAAAGGAACCTTAAATAGACGTGTCGAGCGTGGTCTTCGTGGACATTTTCAGGTATTTGCAGAGAATATGAGGGAAAGGTATCCGTCCAACTCAGCATCGTCATGGGATAGCATCTTATCCTCCAGCTACACGGAACCTTGCTCTTTTGACGATGAAGCCAGTTTGCTTAAAAGGGCATCATACGGTAGGCTAGATGGATGTACACGAACTCAGTCAAGTGACGGTCATCTAGAGGCCTTGTAGCGGCACAGCAGTGAGAATGTGTGTTCTGTGAGCTGCAATTACCAAGTCAAATCCCAGACTGGAAGGTGAAGACGGAAGGCACCAGAATGAGGGGTCTACTGTGCACAGAACCCGGAGTTGTCCTCTCAGACAGCAGCAGTGGCCACTGGCGACGTCAGGACTGGTGCTGACTGTGCCCAGTCATACCTAAGAGTCTCTGGGACGGTGGTGGCAGCTGCTTTCGTGCGCTCGTGGGCCAATCTCAAGTGGCCTCCAATCAGCGTTTGTTGCATTTGCCGAGGCGTGGTGTCCCAGTGGCTTAGATTGTGGTTGCAGGGGGAGGTGCGTCCAAGCGGCCTCATGGGCAGCTGCGACTGCGACTCCAAATAGTGAAGGAAATTATTAAACACTGGAAAACTGTTTTGGAATCTACACCCAGAATGTAGGCGGTTGACAAACCCTCATACATGAAGTCACACTACTTATTAAACGATATTTATATGTAAACTTCACTAAAACACTGTTATTAGACATTATTTTATGTCTACTTTCATATTTACCGCGTGTTTGGTATTAGAATACATTCTATACATCTAAAAACGAACTTTACTAAATTAGAGCCATTTCCGACATTTTTGGTATATTGCGCTTTTCAAAATAAATCGACATTTCTAAACAAGACAATATTGCCTTTAGGTTTTCTTTTATGTTTTTAATTCTTTTAAACTAGTACTTAATTAACATAGACATTGGACTCATGAAATGGTGTTGGTTTGCGAGTGATTGACAATAATTAGTAGATTTCGACACATTTCATGAGTTAGGCCACTAAATGTGCATTGCTGTTAGCGGCAGATGTGAACAAGGCGGTAATCCAGTCTGTTTGAGCGGGACCTTTCCAGCGAATGCACATTTGCTTTTTTAAGTTCAGTGCACTTCAAGGCAGATGGACGCGCGCCTTTTAATCCCCTATTTGTCCCAAATAAATTAGAAATGCTGATGAAAATGGGAGAGAATTACAGTATCAACTGGCGGCCGGCGTAATTTCTCATAATTCTGCACATGCATAGGCTGCATAGTTCGTCTGTTTTGAAGAAGAAGAGGAAGAAGACACGATCGCTGGGGCAAGAGCTTTATTCGCCTGACGTTTCGGATTCCTGCTCAAACACATCATCAGAGACAATAACATATACGGGTGGTTCATGTACAAGCAGCGGCTGCAGTATTTATAGGATGCAGTAGCATGGCGGCTGCAGCCCCTTGTGCATGAACCACGCGTATCTGCTTTTGTCTCTGATCATGGGTTCGAGCAGGAATCCGAAACGTAAGGTGAATAAAGTTCTTGCCCCAGCGATCGCGTCCTCTTCTTCAAGACTACTTCCTGGGACTCGTCTCTTCGCTTCTATTGACAATTCGTCTGTTGCCGTAAAATGTTTGAAGGTTCTCAGACTGGGGTATCACAATGGTCCAATCACACGGGCCGAGAGAAAACCTCTTCTCCCATTCAAGCGCCCTTGGTGCATATCTTGGTTTAAAGGATGTCGACGGGCTTTCCTAACACTGGCGAGTTGATAAGAGTCCCCACACAAGAGGATTTGCCCCCATCGATATCAAAGGTCTGTGCCAAGACCCCCGAACTTACTTACAACTTAGAGAGATAAGGGTTAGGTTATTTAGGCAACTTCGGCAAAAGCCAAAAGAATTGCTCAAACACAGCACCGGAGTCAAAGTCAAAGTGGCCGTTTCTCAAGTCTCTGAGCTAAGATCATGGTTAGTTATGTAACGGGAAGTCAGATGATAGGAGAGTATCGAGCAAAACAAGACCTACTTAAGCACGCATAGTAGGCATTGCTTGTGTGCCGTAGATACTTGGAGGCCTTCATTGGATCCTTGTCGTTCCCGTGATCTCTGAATACTTTGATAAAATGTCTCTGAACCCGCTCGAGTTAGTTGTAATCCTGTTGTATCCAATTTATGTCGCCGCTACCTCTGTTACGATAACCCCTTTGGGAAGACCATTCCAAGCGCCAATACTTACCGAGTGCTTACATATATCCAGGTGCTACAACGTTCCCCGAATTTTAAAAGGATTTCCGAGCGTATGGTTTGTCGTAGCGAGTGCGAAGCGATCACCGAACTGTTAGACGTCGCCCCATTTCCTAACAATGCGGTCAGCCTAGCTCCCCTTTACAGAGGTCAGGATGGCTTTCGCGGTTGTTTTCAAAGTTTCATCATATAACCTTCAATGGAGGGGGATGAAGAGGATTAATGGAAATATGCCTACAGTAGGTGGGCTAAATCATGAAATGTCAACTGAAATTCCGAAATGCATTTTCGTTTCGAAAAAATTTATTAAGTAGGGTTGTAAAACTAGTCAGCCTGCAACATAATTCTATAATATTTCAGTTACCTCAGGATGCCGGCTTTCGAATGAAGTTCCTTCCGGCTGCATGCAAAAACTACACTCTGAAAAAAATGACTACGTAAGCAGCAGGTTCAAAGTTATTTGGGAATTGAAAAGTTTTTGAAAACCGAATCATGCCTTTCCTACGAGTATAAGCTTGGAAGAAGACGTAATTATCTACCGAATGATCAAAAGAATAAATATTTTTATGCAGGTTTTCCATGAAATGTAATTGGGCTTCTGGGGGGTTCGCGTACATCTGTAGCGTGCGGTCATCATGACCGGTCTGGCGTCATTGTTCAAGACCTCGCTGCCTCAAGGTCATCCACCCTTTTGCAGTGAGCCGTTCCAGACGCGCTGACCTGGAGTCACACGCCCGACAGCTCTCGGGCATACTTGCGTCCGCGCAGTCGCAGCTGCCCATGAGGCCACTTGAACGCACCTCCCCCTTGCAACCACAACTTAAGCCGCTGGGACACCACCCCTCGGTAAATGCGACACACACACACACACACTAACTGGACACTACTTGAGCTTGGCCCACGAAAGCGGCTGCCACCACTATCTCTCTCAGGGACTCTCAGGCATGACTGGACGCAGTCAGCACCAGTCCTGAAGTCGCCAGTGGCCACTGCTGCTGCTGTTGTCTGAGAGGACAACTCCGGGTTCTGTGCACAATAAACCCCTCATTCAGGTGCCTTTGCTCTTTTTCCAATCAGGGATTCGACCTGGTGGTTGTAGCGCTCAGAGCACTTACTCTTGCCGCTTGGTCACCACACATCACACATCAGTCCAGCCGGTTAAACGACGGGATGCGCTGGATGTGAAGCTTCTCGAGCAACGTTGCCTTAAAACAGTCTCCCGAGCCAACGACACGACCTGCGTACCGAACGGGATAGGTGCACCTGCTGCGACGCGTCCGTCGTCGCCAGTCTTATGCTTGACTGGGGAGAGGAATTAGAAGGGAAATAACCGAGGTCAGCTAGATTAAGGATGATAGCAGTAGTGTCAAGTGAAGCATGGAAAGTATGAGCGAGAAAATCATTCCTGTTGGAAAAGAAACTCCTCTCTCGTGGGCATCACAAGCGTTCGGTAGGTTTAGTCAGAGTGTACGGACCATAGCGTACCCATTAGTTTGAACCCCTGAACGGACACCAGATCTGCTTGGGATGTCCGTAGTATGTAATTTATTATTGATTTTCGATGCCCTTGAACGTAAAATTATATTTCATGGAAAACATGCATAAAAATATCCATTCTTTTACTTATTCGGTAGAAAATCACGTCTTCTTCCAATTTCATACTCAAAAGAAGAGTATAATTCGGTTTTAAAAAACTTTTCTAATTTCCGAATAATTTTGAATCCGACCTGCTGTTACACTTGCATTCAGGGTTTCAAAACGACAAACTGCATATTTTCCGTGTACGGAAAACCATGCCTTCCTCTGCGGTGTTAAGAGGAGACTATATGAGGTTCATAAAATTAAGCAGTGGTTTTGAGAAATATTGTTAACTTTACAAGCCACATTCGTAAATGTAGATAAATGAAGTTTCATGAACGGCCATTTCACGGCATTAAAAAATCTCACAATTAGAAACTTTTTTAAAACCGAATTATACTCTTCTTTTGAGTATGCAATTGGAAGAAGACGTGATTTTCTACCGAATAAGTGAAGGAATGGATATTTTTATGCATGTTTTCCATGAAATATAATTGTACTTTCAAGGGCATCGAAAATCAATAATAAATTACATACTACTTAAGTAGTCATTTTTTTTGCTGAGTATAGATCTTGCATGCAGCCGAAAATAAGTTCTTTCGAAAGCCGACACCCTGAGGTAACTGGATCTTCATAGACTTATGCTGCATCCTGATTAGTTCTACAACACTACTTAATTTATTTTATCGAAACGAGAACGCATTTCGAAATTTTGGTTGACATTTCATGAGTTAGCACATCTACTGTAAGTGGTTGAGGAATAGTTGTCCCAACACCTAACCATAACCCCAACAGTATTGTGTCCATCAGGCGGGGCTACATAACCACAACTTACCAAAAGGTTATGTTGCCAGAGCATGGTTACAGTCAGAGGACTAATTCATCTACATCACAGAACACCTGAACACCCAAACATTTTACCAAGAACAGAAGACCGAAATACTGGAGTGGATTCGCGTGTATCAAATGATTTGATAAAAAGGTCATAATGGCCGGAAGGTACCGTGGCGTCGATACCGGATTCACCACAGTAATGTTGACATAGAGGCAGAGCATAGCGACAAGGAGGGAATGCTCGTTAGACAGATAAAAAATATCTCAAAACAAGAGGCGAAGCAATATTTAATGTAGATCTGAAAAAGGGGAGAACGAGAGGCGGGAGTGGAAGAGGCAAACACAAAGGTCGCCGCTACAAATGCCTCAGGGACGACTGTACAGTTCTGCGATCATCGTAGAGTCAGCCCTGTTTAGCCATTGCTGCTTTGTAGAGGTCGAAGAGTGTTTTGAGGGTAGACGCGCACTTCTTCTTGACCTGGATGCTTTCATTCAACTGGAAGTGGAAAGGTAAAATATGGTCAAGCTGGAGCAAACACACACACACACAGACGCTGCGCGTGGGAGCATCTTTCAGCGCAAGAAAAGCAGGGAAAACAAGTTCTGGAGCAGGGCTGGAATCATAGCACAGTGAGGCGAGCCAAACGATTAAAGACAGGAGGGGTCAACCCATTAACGGGAAGCCTGCTACTGCCTGGTGGGGCACTACGCGAGATACGGTCCTCCAGCAACAACCATCCTACGGCATGGAACTGACATTCAGTGGACAGCCGACAGAAGCGAGGAGGCAAACGCTGGAGGAGTGAGTTTAGTCATCTGACGTTTTTGATTATTACTCGAGCCGCAGATAAGGCAATAGAGTGAACTAGTACGAAGATATTTCTGCTCAGGGCCAGAGAAGGACGTCTGCTGCGACACGGAACAGTTGGCTGAAATGCTTACATGCGTTTTCGATTAGAAAGGGCTAATTAGGTGGGATTGTGATATTGATTATCATGCGACATGACAGTTCGACTGTCGCAGCCGACGATGTCCACCGTGTGCTCAACAGCAAGACGAAGAAGGCAGGGTGACTTACGCGTGATCTAGTTTATGCCGAGTGCAGACTTGCGCAGCATCTACCGCATTCTCTCCTCTTCCTCTCCTACTTGGACCCAGTGTCAAGACAGAGTCAGGAAGACCGGAGGCGGGGGAGGTGGCGCAGGTGGATGGCGCGGCCGAGGCCGCACCTTGGCGCTCCGCCTGGTCCACACAAAAATTGACCAGGATTTTAACCAAGAACACCACGACGGGTCAGACGGATGAATGGGCGGCCATACTCACGACCATGCGGGAGCGGAAGTGCATCTACCGGCAGGGAACCCGGAGTCGGAGAATTGCCAGCGCATACCAGGCCACGAGGGCCCTGGTTTGCTGATCCTGGTATAGCAGACGCTTGCAGACCTTTAGGTCTATCATGCGGCATAATGACATGACATTTCAGACTCATCAGGATACTGGCTTTTAAATAAGCTTCTTTCCGACGCCTGTAAAAGCCTCACTCGGTTAAAGATGAACACTTAAGTTGCATGTCCTTATGCATCGACTTTCTATGCCCCATAAATGCAAATATGTCTTATTTGACATACGTTTATTTAAAGCTTCTAATGATTTATACAACATAGTCCGCATCTACCGCAAAATTCCATGGGCTCTCTATGGTATCTTCTTAAAGGCATAGCGGAATGTATGATTGTTCTTATGCGCAAAGTACGCAGCGTTAAACGCAAATGCAATGCCAGATCGAACTCAAAATTATTCAGGAATTGAAAAGATTTGGAACCGAAGGGAGCTCCTTATTTTCTGGATGCTCACTCGCAGATACGGGACTAAGGTGGACTAACACAATGGAAGGAGATATTGCCACTCGGGACCAGAGGAGTTCGTTTACTGTGGTATCTAGATGTAGGATCTGTGGGCTTTGAAGGAAACAGTCAAACTGCATAAGAGCACTTTCGGATTTCAATCGATTCTAAGAGCTCAGGAGTGAGTGGCCTTCACTGATATGTGGGAGCGTCTGTTAGAAGATGGATTCGCTACATGAGAGTGCGGCCACCACACAGACTGACAGTTCGAACGTCGTTTCCGGCGATGTCCACCGTGTGCTCCCCGCAGCAAGGTGATGCAGGCACGGTGAATTCCGCAACATTTGACACATTCTCTCCTCCCAACCTGAGCCCGGTGTCAAGACATGGTCCAGAAGACCGGAGGCGGGAGAGGACACAGGTGGCTGGCACGACCGGACCCACACCCCTGGTTCACAACAGCCACTTGGGCAGGATTTTCATCAACAGCACAACAACGGGTCAGAGTGATTGAACTGCTATGCTCAATAGTAGGCGGTATCGAGCACTCCTGCGTACGACCGGTTGAGAGCTCTTCACCTCGTTCGCACAATTAAGTCTACAGAAATCGCATAATTCTTGTAAGGAAACCTCTCACATCCAAGCGCTTTATATTGACTCAAGCGCATTATCTTTGGAAAGCCAGACTTGTCAGGGTACCATTCTGCCTCCAGAGAGGCGAGGGGCATGGGAACTCGCAGTTCAGAGGGACTGGTTCTACCATTTCAACCGTCACTAGCCTCCATTGGTTAGATGTTGACACCCTACTTATCCTTCTCGAGCAGTTAAACCATTTGACGTTCATACAAGGGGACGAAGAGTCCTAACTACGGATTACGCAATCCCGATCTGGTGGGTCTTTTAGTCAAGAAAAATGGATTAGGGACAAAGCAGTAGCGGGAAAGAGAAACCAGACATACCTTAGACTTGGAAATGCCTTCATCATAAAGGGCTTTAGTCGTCTTAAGTAGCACCTCCAATTTGTTCAGGTTGGATTGCGCCCTCGTGATCTCCGAGCGAACTTTGTCCAAATCTGCTGTCATCTTCGCTTTCGTTGTAGTGGCAAGCTACGTGGAGGCAAGCAAAATGACGGTAGTAGAAAAAGGAAACTGACGCCAGCCAGCCAGCACCATCAGCGGATATTAAATCGTCGTATAATGGGAGTGGGCGCAGGAGGCAACAGTTTACACTTCTTGTGTAGGCGCTCCACACACATGCTACCCTCTAACTCGACAGAAACCGATTTTCGTTGGTGCTGCCATAAAGGGCCACAATAAGACCCGAATAACGATAAAATCGCATATACTCACACTACTTCATTGATATTTTGGCAGATTTTGAATAATTCATATTGACCCAACTGTGAAAAACTCGGCCCAAGTGTGATAAAACTCGCGTCGTCCGGCGGGGCCTCGTAGCTCAGGTGGTTAGAGCGTTGGCTGTACTAAAGCCTTTCCCCTTACTGCGTGGGTTCGAATCCCACCGAGGCGGCGAGTTTTTCACAGTTGGGTCAATATGAACTCACACTACTCACAATTATTGAGTACAGGTTAATGTTTACATTTGTGCGTCGTGACAGATTCGAGCGCTGGTCTGTCAGGGGACTGAGTGCAATGGCCAATGAGGCGTGCGTGCCATTTCGTGAAATGTTGATCAAAATTCGGGAATTTGTCTTTGATTCGCAGGGATCATATAAGTAGGATTGTGATATTAACCATCGTGCAACATAATCCCATGATATTTCAGTCACTTAGGGCCGCCGGCTTTTGAACGAGCTTGTTTCCGACGGCTTGCAAAAACTATACTGAAGAAATGACAACTTAAGTAGCGCACAATTTCCCACTGATTTTCCATGCCCCTAAAGATTAAAGGATACTTTTACGGAGGACATGCATAAAAATATTATCTCTTGGACTACTTGGCAGAAAATTACGCCTTCTCCAAATTTCACACTCGAGGAAAGGGTATTCCTCGATTTCAAAAAGTTTCTGATTATGAGATTTTTCAGGACCACAAGCCCATAAAAGCGGCTGCCACCGCTATCCCAAGGACTCTCAGGTGCGAATGGACGTAGTCAACACCAGCTCTGGCTTCGCCAAAGGCCACTGCCGCCTGAGAGGACGATCCGGGCTTCTGCGTACAATAAATCCCTCATTCTCGTGACTTTCTGTCTTTTCCTCCAACTCAGGATTTGACCTGATGATAGCAGCGCTCTGAGTACAAACATACTCACCCTCACCGTTGAGCACACACATTCTCACTGCTGAGTCGCCACAACATAATGTCAAAACGACCGGAGGTGCGAGCAGGGCGCAACATCCAACGTGGTCAAACAGTCTGCATCACATCTATTGCGAGAAATGTGAGCACGAGATAGGTCTCCATATTTTTTTTCTTTCCTTTCCCAGTGTGCAGCAGTGACCAGCCCGGGACAGTTCAACTTCAGACAAGATCAGTGGGGTAAGGCCCCTGCTTCAAGGGAACCGAATACCTACTTGACCTCAGCAGTAACACCGGCAGTCTTGGGAGCCTGCGACATGAACACAGAGAAAACCCGAGGCAAACAGCACCACCGAGAAAAAAAAACAAAGAAAAGCCGCTGACGCTTTATCATCACGCCTACCAACAAAGGCATACCTCGTCATGGTTGGTAAGGTGAAGCTTTTGGCTGACAAGTGAACTCTCTAGGAGGTTAACGGCATCAGCTTCTTCCGTTAGCACCTTGCACTTGTTCTTCTGATCCTCCGCGAGGTCAGCGACGGTCTTCTTTATAGTCTAAAAGTAATAATAGAGGAAGCAAGCCCAAATTCAGGCAGAGGAAGTGGCAAACTGCGGTTTACATCGAGAAATCGACTGATAACGGTAGCGGAATAACAGCCTGTTATGAACGGACGTTATCGGTAAAAGCCACACTCGGGGGCACATCTAAGGCCGATATAGGGGCTCGAAGAAAACGCATACACTCAATTGACACAAATTTTCGCGTTTTCTGCACTTCTTTAAGAAAAAAATGTTATCTATAACCAGCGCAATACCATTCCCAGTACTTTTTGTGGTTTCATACAAGCAGGCCTTGTTTATTATAAATCCGAATCACCCACTGTAAATACAGGGCTGGACTCCCCAGTCAGTTTATTCGCAAAAAATTTCACGGGCACGGAACAGAAAAAGGTTACCTCCCCGTGGGATGAAAGACCTAGAAATGACCCTCGCAAGTTCCGCACATAGAGGGAACTTTGAGAGGTGTATAATGATGTCTGAGAAAAGTTGACAACTCTATTACGCGGAGATCAATAAACCTGCCTGCGAAAGATGCCGCCACAGAACAAGTAACTCCATTCAAAAATCGGAACAGTTTACCACAGTTGCTCCTGTATATACGACGGTCATAGCGGACAACATCTCCGGTACGTGCCATCACGCGAGTGAAAGATTCATCTGGTCATTTGATCTTTAAAGGACGTACGGATTTGAGCAGTGTTTAAAGAGTGCGAAATAGACATTAGACGTATGCAAATTACAGGTCAGTGCGCTTGAACCTGCCCCGAGGAAGATACTGCAAAACAACACAATCCAGATTCAACCGACGACAAGAATCACTTCCGGGTTTGATTTATGTGGCAAGAATAGTTGCGTTTGCAGCATGACAAGTGATTCCCTATGCACTGCATCTTATAGTTTGTCTTATTAGACTGATGAAGACTATGCAGACTTCCAAATTAAAACCAACCTGTGTTCGGCACATCCGGTGTGCAAATTTTCCCACCAGGGGCAAGCAAATGAAGTACCACTGACCTCCAATTCCGACTGCAGGTCGGCAGTTTTGGTAATGGCGCTGAAGAAGGCAGTCACGTCGACATCCATTTCCTTGTCGAGCATGGACGTCACCTTGCGATATTTCGTTATCGACTGAGTGATCTGTATGCGGTTGGCGAACAACTCGGTTATTTGGCGTTCAGAATCGTTTACGGCATTCAGAAGATTCTCCACCAGTTCGGGAAGTTTATCCGGATCCGAAATGACCTGCACTTCGAGCGACTTTTTGCGTTCTTCCAGGGCAACCGCCTCGTTATGCAGCCTGTCTGCCTGCGATGACAAATTTAGTTAAAGGGGTTAGTCGGGCCAGTACTGGTGTAATGACACAAATTTTATACGACTAGCCGGGAAAGGGCAGAAGGACCGACAAGAGACACAGGAGTGGTTGAGGCAGCCAGGCTGTCGGGAAATCTTTCAAAGTCGGGCTGGGAAGCACGCCCTCGCGGACAAGTGTCTGACTTCACGGAGACTATCAGAGGCTAACCAATAGGCTGTCGGACGTGGTGTAAAGCTGTTTTGTATAAATCGTACAACTGCCGAGTTTGGTTCCGGCATCGCTACTGTCAAAAGGGTCAAATCAAACGGCTACCAATGTCGCCAGAACGACCTTGGTAGTTATCTGGTGAAGTCTAGATGGATCGGTTCGGAAAACCTGCCTGAACAGACAACCTACTAGTTTGAATTGGCAATTGCAGTTCAATTGGAAAAAACATGCAGCTGCCCGTTGACATTTCATAGTTCAAAAGGCTGAACATTTCGGTAAGTCGAAGTCCTACTTTTTTGTCGCGGATTTGAGGCTCGAGGGGATTTTTTAAAATTAATAACTTCATAAAATGTACCAGTGAAATAGTCTTACGGGTGCTACCAACATTGGTAGTCTTAAGGTACTACTAGAAACAAAGCAGGTTTTTGAGTGATAAATGGAAAGAAACGCACTTCTTCTGAATCCCTCGTTGCGGATGCATTCAAGGACTCCAGCTTCTGCTTTACAGTCTGTAAGTGAGATTCCACCTGCTTTTGATGGTCTGAGGCCTTTGAGTATTCGGAAGTGAGTAGATTGATCTTCTCCCGGTACTCCGCCGTCTTGGTGCGTTGACCATCAACCGTCACTCTCAGGGCTGCAATTCGTGTGGCGTAGGCTTGAGCTGCATTTGCTGATCGTTCTGTGTCGTCAATGACCTAGATAAAATGTCTTCATAACAACTTTCAACCCCGAAACCAACCCTTGACGCAAGATCTCCTGCGTAGGTGGTTCTTCTTATGAACTCAATACAGTAAGACAGCATTCTCAGCCACTTTCTTGGTTCCCGGTCATCAGATATATCTGTCAATCCGATTGGTACGTCGTAACCAATTTTGCGAAAGAGTGAAGACAGAATACTAAAGTACTTTAGGCGCCACTCGGGGCTGACTGACATTCCGAAGACACCGCACAAAATTCCGCACATTATCTCATCCAGTTTGGCAGCTAGGGGACAGAGGTTAGTAGAAGGATGACAGTACGAAGGGATAAATCCTGGGGTTTTATCCGTTTTTGGAGTGCTGATGAGAGATACTCCGCTATTTCATTCGCCGACAAAACCGAAAAAGCTGGAAAAATACTCAGCCGATAATTCACTTTACCTAACGAAGTTGTAACAGCATTGCCCTCCATTGTGCTGTCACCTGGTAGACAAGTGCACACCTATAATAACCGGTCTCGGTGGGGCTTCAGAGCTCGCTGCCTCGCCTGTGCCTTCGTAGGATGTCCGAGGTGCTATGCCCTGTTCCTGTACGTCTTTCCCTTTTCGGATATCATCCACACCAATCTCCATGTCACTTATAATCAAATATAATAATCCAATAGCACGATAAGTTAAGTGATATTATGACACGTTTTTATTACGAAAACTGGCGTTCATCCCATACAGACAGAAGAGACGTGGTCAGTCGGTTCAAAGCAATGTTATCTACAGGGTTGTCCGGGGAGGGTGGAGTTAGGAGCCGCCACCGGGGAAGGGGAATCAAATTCTTCACACACCTTGACCAGAAAATGGAAGAAAACTCACACCGAGCACTGCAACGCTCAATTTTAGCCCTATTAGCTTGGAACAAAAGGGTTCTACTCCTTCAGGTCTGCCAGCCACAACTGCCCTGCCCCCTTTGACTGGTGCCCAGTCCGCAGGGCCTGGAGATCGGGATAGATCGGTAGAAACCTCCCCTTCGTTGGTGAGTAGGGGAACTAAGTGAGGAGGAAGGATGGGCAGGTTGTCTGAAGACGCTAAGGCTGTCGTGATAAGGTTTTAGTCCGTCAAAATGCTCGGAAAAGGTGGGACCGGCGTGTGTGAGAACGTCTCGGATGATCTCAGTGGTTGATGAGATGACATCCGTTACAACGAAAGGTCCTTCCCAAGGGTGGAAGAATTTGGCCGACAGCGAGCTGGCTATCGTCGGATCAGCTGGACGGACGGTCTTTCTCAACCAAACGATGAATAGGACGTGCTACCTCTGCGAACTGGAGCATAAAACGGCGATAGTAGGAGGCCAGGACAAGGCCGTCTCTCACTTTCGTGGGTGTCCTAAGCGTGGGCTATTATTTGACAGCTTCCACTTTCTCCGGCGATACATGTATGCCTTGTTGGCTGACTTCGTGACCGAGGAAGGTGACTTTGAGCCGCAGAAACTTGCATTTCTGTGGGCTCAAGCGTAGGCCGGTATCACGCAAAACGAGAGGACCGCGGCGAGATTCTCGTCGTGCTGCCGGGCAGTGTACCCAAAACGATGACATCGTAAAGATATATCATACAACTGTGTGGGTATAGGTGGGCCAATACGGACCGTACCAGGCGTTGAATCACTGAACGTGGGAACTGAATGTCCGACAAAAGGGTTCAGTTTAAAATTTTGTCAGCGAATGACTCGAGCCCACAGCCTGTAGCACTTCTATGAATCCCATACCCCCGTCCTCCAGGTCCTATGTTGAGAGCAAGGATCTTGCACGTTGGCTCAGACGCCTACAGCTTCACTTAGGCGACGTGCAGCAGAAAGAACGCAACAGTACAGTATTACAATACTCGGCTGGCGACGGAAGGAATAACGCCATGAATGCCTGAGGTGTTCTCTCCTGGTCCTGTACGTCTTTTCCTTGTTGAATATCATCCACATCGGTCCTCATATGGCATTGACAATCAAGTATAATAATGGATATCGCACGTTAGGGTATGTGAAAGAATGACAAGTGTTTATAAAGAGAACTGGGGTTAATGTCACACACGCGGAAAAGATGCGATCAATCGGTCCAAAGCAACGATTTCTTCACGGTTGCCCGGACGTTACTCCTTCGTGTATCTCCGCCACACCTACGAATTCACAGCAGGCGCTTGCTTGTTCGGCTTATTTTTCGGCATGACTAAACAATTTTGTCAGGACACTCAAGGCCGCAGAAAAAATTAAGTAGTTGATTACCGAGAAAGTTAGGCATACTTTTGGACCTCTATGGTCATAAGCCAATAATGACTATTTCAACAGGCTCACCAGAACGGAAACGTCCGCGCACCCCCATATGGGCGAGTTTGCCGATTGTTTTCGTAGTAACGTGGCAAACTTATAAGCGCGGTGAACACAGGGCTTTAGGCAACCTTCTAAATGCGAGTCGACAATTCTCTCATTGTAAAACAAGTGTTTAACGATTTTTCCCTTGTCAGTTGAAACTGACTTTGATGTTAACAACCCCTAACGATCTTAGTATGTATCAAGATGAGCCAGTTGTAGGAATAGGTCAAAAGTCTGTCGAAGATATTTCGTGACGCAGCAGTGTTAAATTGATAGGACTCCGTGGAAAATTCTGAAGCAATATGTATCTCGACCTTTGGACTAGTGCTAATTGGATGCCGACAAAATATTGTAAAACTGTAACCCTGAGAGCCTCACATACTAACGTGCTTCTGTTAGCCTTTTACGAACTTTCGCGTTCATTTTTAGTACGTTCCTTAAACTCGCACAGCCTTATGTGTCAATATGAGTTATTTCAGGTGGTGTGCTTGACTGGTTGCCATGGTGCGTTTCTGCCGCCGACGTAGAAGTCTTATTTCGAGATAAAGTGTCCTTAAATTGCACTGGCTGTCTGAAAAATTGGAAGCCCTCGGCATCCAGCCGCCTCTACTCGACTTCATTAGGTCCTATCTGTCCAACCGATATCAGAAAGTCATGGTCGGTAATAGCTACTCGACACCTCACTCGATCACGAGTGGCGTACTTCAAGGCACGGTCCTGGGTCCGCTACTCTTCCTTCTGTACATCAATGATATTTCGACTGAACTCGCAAATTCGCAAACTTTTACTTATGCCGATGACCTCAAGTGTGTTTACTCATACTCTAAGGACACCGCAAATGTTTGTGTTGAAAAAATTAATGCCGATTCTACGCTTAAGCAGATGGGGTTCGACATGGCAGATGGAGTTTTCATCATCCAAGTGTAGTTTCATGTCTTTTGGTCCTACCAAACTTCCTGGTCCCATAATTTTTCAGAATAACCCACTCTCAGAATGCCTCACCATAAAGGACCTAGGTCTAAGTTATACAAATAAGCTTGCTTTATCACCTCATGCAGATAGAATCTCTGCCAAAGCCGCGCAGATATGTGGATTCATATCGCATAATTTTTTCCTTCCGGAAATGAAGCTAAGACTTTATCAAATGTTTGTTCTTCCAGTCCTCGAATATTGCTGTCCTTTCTCCGGTTTAATGAACGCCTGCGATCGTAATAAAATCGAAAATGTTCAGAGGGTTTTTACCCGGAAACTGTTCTCTCAAGCTTCGTCCAGTATTTCTTATACTCAGAGATGTCAACTGGCGAACATGAAGTTTTTGTGGGTTAGAAGACTCGAAGCTGGCCTTTGCTTCCTTTTTCGCATCAACTCTAGTTCCAGTCTTCCGCACATTGACACTCTCACTCCGAGAGATCGGTCTTATGCCACGCGCATCTCCTGCATGGTGATTCCGCCGCCTCTTTGTACTACGTCTAAGCGCTCCCTCTTCTTTGCTTCCAAATATGCCTTCCTTTGGAATAATCTTCCGCCTGAAATTAGATTATCGCCTTAGTTACTGATATTCAAGTCGAAATTACGCAACCATCTTACACCGGAAAGCATAAAGGCACTGTTAACGGTCTCATTCCCGAACACTCAGATTCTTGACTTCGAGAAGGGTCCTCCTGGGATTTAGTGGTAGATTAAGTGGCAACTCTTATTTATATCATTAGAAACCCCTGTTTTTAATTGGTTTCTAAATCCATTGCTATCCATCCCCCCATAGCGACAATTTTCGCGGTTTTTGATGTCATCTCCCGCATTCCGACCTCATGCGGTCTGTCGACACTCACGGCGGAACCCTCAGTCTTCACTGTTTACTAGTAGTTCGGTCGTACCTCACTTCCTCACTGCTCGGCTGAGCTCGAAGCGTGCTGTGGCCGATCGCATCTCGGTTCCTCTCGTCTGGCCTCTTTGACGCGGCGTACCAATCCGGCCCAGACGATCTCAATTGTGAATCACGTATAGAATGCCATTTGCAAGCCAGTCCTGTCTGACCCACATTCGTACCCCTCATGGCGGACATTTATTGATACCCTGACGATGACCGAAAACATTCCGTTATATACTGCCACCTACAGGCCAGTCCTGCTCGCTTTTTTCTGTTATTACTTTTAAAGAGGGGTTTTTTCTCCTGCAAAATTAATCCAATCATTTAAACTTTTTCCAAGGAGTTTTTTCACCCCTCAATCATCATGTTTCTCAATGGACTTCTAATTTAGAAACTAGGAATTGCAGTTTGTAAAGATTCGGCCTACCTCGTCTAAAACTCGCATGTAAATTTATTTTAACTTGCTTTGATGGGACCCCGACGGGTCTTTAATAAAAATTATCTATCTATCTATCTATCCATGCAAAATAACATACCATAACCTCATACTTATACACCTTACAAACCATCTTCAAGCTCTTACCCAGTGGTACTCTACGTAACGCCTTTTCCCTTCACGAAAAATATCAATTGAATCGTTTCATTGTGCTGTGCCTGCAGATGTTGCTATGTCCACATCTGTAGAGACTTTTAAGAGGAAGCTGGGTCAGTAAAGAATAACGTCCGACCGACGTCATCTCGATAATTTATGATAACAACTTACTCCTGTCCCAATACTGCTCTACACATTTCGGCATCCTCTGCTTATTGTCATTTCAAATACGTTGTACATGTTCGCTGACACCCACGTTGGTACGTGAAGACCACTGACATTCTGCTACTCTCTCTGCAACATACATGTGTTTGAACTAACCTTTATACTACGCACCACGTAATGTGTGCACGCATATACCTGCCAGCGCTGGTAACATGTGAAATCCCTCGTCTCTATATAGGGTTTTTATACTTGTATTTTACTTGCTCGTTGCCCCCTTATCCGATGTGTTGTATATTCCCGCTGCTTGTAACGAAGTGGAGTTTAAAGGTGCAAACCAAAATTTTCGATGATTAAACTGAATTCAACTGAATTACAATGGCCAGTTATAGTTGTATGTGACGACCGTCAGCCACAAATGGGCACTGACGGCCGCGACGAAAGTCTGTCAGGAGTTATCAAGGATCTGGGACCAAGTTCTCTAAGATTCTCCATATTTTGG